CTCTCACCCCTGAAGGCCTGTCATCACGAAGGCCTCTCACCCCTGAAGGCCCTCTCACCCCGAAGGCCTGTCATCACGAAGGCCTGTCATCCCTGAAGGCCTCTCACCCCTGAAGGCCTCTCACCCTGAAGGCCTGTCATCACGAAGGCCTCTCACCCCTGAAGGCCTCTCACCCCGAAGGATGGTCATCACGAAGGCCTCTCACCCGAAGGCCTGTCATCCTGAAGGCCAAATCTCACCCTGAAGGCCTCTCACCCCTGAAGGCCTGTCATCACGAAGGCCTCTCACCCCGAAGGCCTCTCACCCCGAAGGCCTGTCATCACGAAGGCCTCTCACCCCGAAGGCCTCTCACCCCGAAGGCCTCTCACCCCGAAGGCCTGTCATCACGAAGGCCTCTCACCCCGAAGGCCTCTCACCCCGAAGGCCTGTCATCACGAAGGCCTCTCACCCCGAAGGCCTCTCACCCCGAAGGCCTCTCACCCCGAAGGCCTGTCAGGCCTGTCGAAGGCCTCTCACCCCGAAGGGCCCCTCACCCCTGAAGGCCTCTCACCCCTGAAGGAAGGCCTGTCATCACGAAGGCCTCACCCCGAAGGCCTCTCACCCTGAAGGCCTGTCATCACGAAGGCCTCTCACCCCTGAAGGCCTCTCACCCTGAAGGCCTCTCACCCGAAGGCCTGTCATCACGAAGGCTCTCACCCCGAAGGCCTCTCACCCCGAAGGCCTGTCATCACGAACAAATCGGTTCACGAATAAATTTTCAAAAGAAAAATACGTCTCGCGTGAAGAACGGTTTCTCGAGTGACAAACTCACAAGAAAGCGAAGTTTTTTTTTTGTTTTTTTTTCCAAATGGGGTGACCTGCAAAATTTATTCATTTATTGAATGACAGCACAATCAAGAAGTAGAAGGTCGCTTGGGGCCGACTTATTCAAGATTCATTGTATATAAAATACAATTGCGGTACAAGGCTGAAAATGGCGGTGGGGGTGAGGGGCTGAGGCTAGTCTTCACTTACTATCTTATACTTAGCTAATCAGATTCATGACGCATTCACTCATTACTATTTGCACATCCACCAAAAAACAACAATCATTATTCAATCCTCCAGTCGACGCAGTCTTGCTGAAATAGTAAGCAGATAAGCTAGATCTTTAACTCTCTACTTTTCTCTCCTTTCTATTTGCCAAAACCCCACCCCACCCCCGCAAAGCAAAATGTGGCACAAGGCCAACTTTTAACGTGGTGCATTCCGAGGCCGTAGGCTCGGTCAAAAATTGCCCGTATACAAAGGGTCGGATTTGTCTACCCGCTCCCAAACGAGGCTCTGCCCTTCGGCATAGCCTCGTCCGGGTTTCTCTCCACCCGGAGGCAAAGAGTTCAACAAGAGAGGAAGGGGAAGAGAAAACTTCCTCCTCCTTAATTAGTGTTTTCTTTACTTTTTTACTTTTTGTTTTCATCCAAGTTAACTTAGCTTATGAATATTCACTGTCCCTTTTTATTTTATTTTGCCCCCACTTTCTTTGTTTAATTCTCCCTTCCCCATTAAGTGACAAGAGATGTCAGTTATCTGGTAGATGCGGGATAACTTTCACTTTTTGAGTGTGATTATTAGTATTTGTGTGTTGTGTAAAGGTGTGCGTTTGGGTAAAGGTGTATTTCTGAGAGTGTTAGGCTGTCTGAGTGTTGTATTTTTTTCCCTCTTTTCGTTCCGCATTAATATTGTCCGGTTAACTGATGTCTCTGCCATATTTAGTGATTGGCGGGGGGGACATTACTAATACTGTTTTGTTTTGTTTCTTGTAAAAAAATTTTTTCTACCATTGTAAATATTCATTGGCGTTTATAAATTTTTAATAGTTGTTTTTGTATTCCGCACCCCACCTCAGACAAAATTTTACATATGGGGACGAGTTAAGACTTTAGAGAGTCTCTGATATATTATAGTGGTTGTAGTAAGAATGGGAAGTAAGAATGCGGTGTTTTGGTGCAAGGGTTATTGTAACATTCTGGGTCAGTCATTGTGGCTTGCTAAGTTTTTAGTAAAGGGTGTTTCATAAGGATGGATTATATATAAGGGTGTTTCATTAAGAGGGATTATATGTAAGGGTGTTTCATTAAGAGGGATTATATATAAGGGTGTTTCATTAAGACGGATTATATATAAGGGTGTTTCATTAAGGTGGATTATATATAAGGGTGTTTCATTAAGAGGGATTATATATTAGGGTGTTTCCTTAAGACGGATCAAAGTCAGCAGTAATAATATGCATAATGGTTAACATTACTATGAATATTCAAGTAAAATGTTAAAGATCATGTACGAATTCAGCAGAGATATATTTTTCTTGGATATAATACTGACACGGTGGGAAAAAAAAAGGTGTTTCATTGTTATAGTGGAACACACCTCTTCTACTGTTAATAGACTCTCCCACCTATAATAAGTAGGAGTAAAGTAAGAATAACAAGTCAGTCGCTAAGTCGCTCAGGGGGTTTGGTCAGTCAGTCGATGCTGGACGACCGTTAGTCGGATACTAAAGTATCAACGACCACAACTAGATTTCTCTGCGTCATTACCTATTATATCGTTCCTAACGTTTTGTACGTCGAACCTATTTTTTAGGACCGACTTAGTACAAAGACAAGCCTCCACTGTGAAACCATAACATTCATTAGTGGGATTATATATATATATATATATATATATATATATATATATATATATATATATATATAAGGGTATTTCATTAAGACGGAATAAAGTCAGCAGTAAATAAATCAGTGTTATTGGTGAATATATATTTATTTCTTTATTGATTCATGTTATTTATGTCAGAGAAATTATGTGTGAAAAATAATATCGCCCAAATATCCGCCAAATCTGAAAGGAAAAGAAAAAAAACTCACTAGACGCTTAAACTTAATTCACATTAAAATCGATCCAAATTACTGGAACGGACTTTATAAGACAGATGGTGACCGGCCTTTGCCTTTGCCCATTATTGGCCTTGTGCCTTTACTCATGTGCAATAAATATACTTCCTTTAGCAGTGAAAAACACGACTAGATTAATCTCCAATTTAATGAAGATTCTGTTTAACAATTGCAGACGACATCATTTATTATGTCCTTTATGTATTTTTTTCCAATTCCATAGTGAAAGCAATTGAACATCATCTTGCGGTGCCTTTGATATCTCTGCTTTTCACTCACCAAAACAATTTTCATTTCTTTTTGTACTGAATGGACAAAACCTCTAAATTTCATAAAACATTATCTATCAATCGCGCGAAGCTATTTATCATAGAATCGGAATTCCAGGGCGCCTGTCGTACGGCTATTCAGAGTGAAATTGCTTCATACGTCACTTGCTGGCGTAATCAACTATCTTGGCTCTCTGCCAATCGACTGAACATCTTCCGTAAAGTGATAGCTATCAAACTACATTTACGGGACACGGCAAATGTTCAACCATCATAAGTGCTCCATTACTGTGACTTTGTATCAGGTATCGTTTAGTAAAGATGTTCATTGTGTGCCTGCAGTAAAGTAGTAGCTTGGTTTAATTGACCCCCCCACTGACACAAGGTCGGTTTTTTTTAACGGGGAGACCCAAGTGTCTTCCCTAGGCATAGCTGGTCTTAGTTGACCATAGCAAGTTCAAGCTGGTCAGAGCTCGTCTAAGCTAGTCATAGCTGGTCATAGCTTTGCAAGTTGGTCAGAGGTCATCTAAGCTAGTCATAGCTGGTCTTAGCTGGTCATAACTTGTCCAAGCTGGCCAGAGCACGTTTAAGCGAGCTATAGCCGGTCATAGCTTATCAGAGGTGGTCAGAGCTCGTCTAATCTAGTCATAGCTGCTCATAGTTTGTCCAAGCTGGTCAGAGCTCGTCTAAGCTAGTCATAGCTGACCATAGCTTGTGAGTTGGTCAGAGCTCGTCTAAGCTAGTCATAGTTGGTCTTACCTGGTCATAACTTGTCCAAGCTGGCCAGAGCGCGTCTAATCTATTTATAGCAGGTCATAGCTTGTCCAAGCTGGTCATAGCTGGTCTGAGATAGTCATAGCTGGTCATAGCTTTGCAATTTGGTCAGAGGTCATCTAAGCTAGTCAAGCTGGTCTTAGCTGGTCATAGCTTCTCCAAGCTGGCCAGAGCATGTTTAAGCGAGCTATAGCCGGTCATCGCTTGTCAGAGCTGGTCAGAGCTCGTCTAAGCTAGTCATAGCTGCTCATAGTTTGTCCAAGCTGGTCAGAGCTCGTCTCAGCTAGTCATAGCTGACCATAGGTTGTGAGTTGTTCAGAGCTCGTCTAAGCTAGTCATAGCTGGTCTTAGCTGGTCATAGTTTGTCCAAGCTGGTCAGAGCTCGTCTAAGCTAGTCATAGCTGGTCTTAGCTGGTTATAGATTGTCCAAGCTGGTCAGAGCTCGTCTAAGCAAAGTCATAGCTGGTCTTAGCTGGTCATAGTTTGTCCAAGCTGGTCAGAGCTCGTCTAAGCTAGTCATCTTAGCTGGTCATAGATTGTCCAAGCTGGTCAGAGCTCGTCTAAGCTAGTCATAGCTGGTCTTAGCTGGTCATAGTTTGTCCAAGCTGGTCAGAGCTCGTCTAAGCTAGTCATAGCTGGTCTTAGCTTGTCCAAGCCGATCTAACTCGTCCAAACCAGTCGTAGCGGTGATACAACCTGTGCCAGGTAAGTAAACTACCGTAAAGTAGTGACTGAAGTGAATTAACCCCTTCAGGAGTATCACGCAATAGATGGGAGAACAGGAAGTACAAAGAAAGCGTCAGGAAGAAAAATACGTTCTCGTTGAGTGATAGAACGGTTTCTCATAGTGACAGGGTAAGAATGCGTGAAGGAATGATTTTTTTTGTTTTTTGATTAAAGCCAAATGAAAATATAAAGGTGAGATTTTTATCTTAAAACACCAAAATTAAAAATAAAATTCATTTACAAGAATATAGATAAATACATAGATAGAAAGAAGGAAAGAAACATGCTATTGGCCGACTTAAGACACAAGATATTCATATCTATAGACAGAAAGAGATAGATAGATAAAATAGATAGAAATTGATAGACAATAGATGAAAATGGCGGTGGGGGTTGAAAAACACCACGAAACTGAGAGATAGATAGATAGATAGATAGATAGATAGATAGATAGATAGATAATCAGATTTGATAAACGTGCATTCTGAGATAGATAGATAATATATACTATAATAGATAGATAGATCCACCAAAAACAACAAGAGACAGTTGATAAACGTTCGAGACGATAGATAGATAGATAGATGAAATAGATAAGATAGATAGATAGAAGAGACAGTTGATAAACATTACGAGACTGAGAGATAGACTCTCTAGATAGATAGATAGATCTCCTTAGATAGATAGATAGATATGAAAACAGTTGATAAACATTACCTGAGATAGATAGATAGAAATAGATAATAGATACGAAGGCCAGATTTTAGATAGATGGTGCGAAGATAGAGGAAGAAACGGATCGGTGAGAAATAGATGCCCGATAGATACAATAGGATCGAAGAGACAGTTGATAAACGTTCCCAGACTGAGGATAGATGATAGATAGATAGATAGATAGATCGTGAATGGATAGATACGAAGACCAGTTGATAAGGCATTACGAACTGAGATAGATAGATAGATAGATAGATAGATAGATAGATAGAGAAGATAGATCCTCCTTAATTATAAAGATTACGAAGAGACTTTTTTACTTTAGATTTTCATAGATAGATAATAGATAGATAGATAGATACGAAGAGAAGTTATAAACATTACGAGACTGAGATAGATAGATAGATAGATAGATTTTATAGATTTATTTTAAAACATTACGAGACTTTAGATTTGATTTAGATAGATAGATCTCCTTCCCCATTGATAAACATCACGAGAGAGATAGTCAGTTATAGATAGATAGATGCGGGATACGAAGAGACGGTTTAAACATTTTTGAGATGTGATTATTAGATAGATTAGATAGATAGATTGTGTAAAGTTGATAAACGTTTGGGTAAAGGTGTATTTAGATAGATAGTGTTAGGCTGATAGATGAGGTGATAGATATTTTTAGATCTTTTCGTTCCGCATTATTAAAATTGTCCGGTTAATAGATAGATGATAGATAGATAGATAGATATTTAGATGATAGATGATTGGGGGGACAGTTGATAAATACTGAGATTTGTTTTGATTAGATAGATACGAAAGATTTTGTCTAGATTGTAGATAGATTAGATAGAGATAGATTATAAATTTTTAATAGTTGTTTTTAAAACATTACGAGACTGAGATAGATAGATAAATAGATAGATAGATAGATAGATAGATAGATAGATACGAAGAGACAGTTGATAAATATTATGAGACTGGAGATAGATAGATAAGAATAGATAGATATGAATGATGTTTAGATGAATGAACAGTAGGTTAACGTAAGAGACTTGATAATCATTATGAGACTGAGATAGAAGATAGATAGATAAAGATAGATAGATTAAGATGGATTATATACGAAGAGGTTGTTTCATTAAGACTGGGATAGATAGATAGATGATAATAGATAGATAGAAGAGGATAGATAGTTATATAAGATAGATAGATAGATAGATACGAAGAGGATTATGATAAAAGTTGTTTGGAGATTAAGATAGATAGACAAAGATAGATAGATAGATAGATAGATAGAGATAGATACGAAGAGGTTGATAAAACATTACGAGACAGGATGGATGAATATTCAAGTAAAATGTTAAAGATAGATAGATACGATAGATAGAACGAAGAGATATATAAACATTGGATATAAGATGACATAGATGGGATAGAAAAAAGATAGTTAGATTGTAGATAGATGGAAGACAGATACTTCTAGATGATATTAATAGACAGTTGATCTCCCGAGACTATAGATAAGATAGATAGATAGATAGATAGATAGATAATACGAAGAGACAGTCGTTAAGTGAGATCAGGGGTTTGGATGAGATAGATAGATAGATGAATCGATGCTGGATAGATAGTTAGTCGGATAGATAAAGTATCAACGACCACAACTGATTTCTCTGCGTCATGGAGACCTATTATATAGATAGATAGATAGATAGATTTAGATAGATAGATACGAACCATTTAAACCGACTTACTGAGATAGATAGATAGATAGATAGATAGAGATGATAGAAACCACTCCATAACATTCATTAAGATAGGGATTATATAGATATATATATATATATATAAAAGAGGGTATAAAATGAATGAGATAAGACGGATAGAAAGATAGATAGATAGATAGATAGATACGAAAGAACAGTTGATAAACATTAGAGACTGATTGGTGAATAGATGATAGATAGATAGATATTGATTCATGTTATTTAAGATCAGATAAATAGATAGATAGATGTGATAAAAAATAATATCGATAAATATCCGCGAAATATGAGAAGGAAAAGAAAAAGACTAGATAAATTTAATAGATACTGAAGATACATTAAAATTACTGGATGGACTAGATAAGACAGATGGTAGATAGAGACGGCCTTTGCCTTGCTCATTATTGAGATAGCCTTTAGATAGATAGATAGATAGATAGCAAGAAATAGATAGATGAAGAGACAGTTGATAAACGATTAGATTAATCAAGATAGATGATAGATAGTTTAACAGATAGATAGACGACATCATTATTATGACAGTTGATGTATTTTTTTTACCAACTGAGATAGATAGATAGAAATAGAAGATGAACATCATCTTGAATAGATAGATAGATAGATAGATAGATCTACGAAGAGACTTTTGATAAACATTGTTGAGATAGAAATTGAGATAGATTTGATAGATGAATGGATATAGAAAATAGATAGATGGATAGATAGAAGATGCATAAAGACATTGATAAACGTTACGAGACTGAGATAGATAGATAGATAGATAGATAGATCATAGAAGATAGATAGATAGATACGAAGAGACAGTTGATAAACGTTACGGACTGAGATAGATAGATAGATAGATAGATAGATGAGATAGAGATAGATGATAGATTCAAACGTTACGAGACTGAGATATAGATAGATAGATAGATAGATAGATAGATAGATAGATGGATAGATGCCAGATCGACTGAACATCATCAGTAAAGTGATAGATAGATAGATACTGAAGATAGATAGATAGATAGACGGAGACGGATAGATGTTCATAGACAGATAAGATGATCCATTATGCAGAGGACGGTTTGTATCAGGTATCGTTTAGATAGATAGATAAAGATGTTAGATAAATGATAGATAGACTGATAGATAGTGCCTGCGAAGGAGTGAGATAGATAGATAGCAATAGATTAGAAATGATACGAAGAGACGGTTGATAAAACGTTACGAGGACTGAGATAGATAGATAATAGATAGATAGATAGATAGATAGATAGATAGATAGATGAACGAAGAGACAGTTGATCTAGATAGATAGATAGATGATAGATAGATAGCTGATAGATAGATAATAGCTTTAAGAGACAGTGAGATCTGATAGATAGATAGATGGATAGATAGATGGATAGATAGATAGATAGTTGGTTCTGAGATAGATAGATAGATAGATAAGATAGATTGTCCAAGATGGCGAAGAGACGTTTAAACGTTACAGAGACTGGGATAGATAGATAGATAGATAGATAGATAGATAGATCAAAGATAGATAGAGCGAAGACGTTCTAAATCGAGACTGAGATAGATAGATAGATAGGATAGATAGATTGTCAGATAGATGGTCGAAGAGACAGTTGATAAACGTTCGAATCTGAGATAGATAGATAGATAGATCATAGATAGATGATAGATAGATAGTGAATGGTGATAAATCGTTACGACGAGACGGAGATAGATAGATAGATAGATGAATAGATAGATAGATAGACCATAGATGGATAGATAGATACGAAGAGACAGTTGTAAACTAAGACTAGATAGATAGATTGATAGATAGATAGATAGATAGATAGATAGATAGATGAATAGATACGAAGAGACAGTTGATCCAACATTGGCGAGAGAGATAGATAGATAGATAGATAGATCTATAGATAGCAGAATGAATAGACTTGTCCAAGCTGGTCATAGATGGATAGATAGAGATAGATAGATAGATGGTCGATAGACGGTTGATAAAACGTTCCGAGACTGGATAGATAGATGATAGATAGATAGATAGAAATGATAGATATAGCCGGTCATCGCAGATACGACGAGACTCGATAAACATTAGATCAGATAGATAGATGAATAGATAGATAGATAGATGACCATAAGATTGATGATAGATGGTAGATAGATACTCTAAGATACGATAGCTGGTCTTAGCTGAGGATAGATAGATTGTCCAAGATAGGTCAGCGAAGAGACGTTCTAAACGTTACGAGACTGAGATAGATAGATAGATCTTAGCTGATGTAGATAGATAGATAGATAAAAACGAAGAGTCAGAACTCGTCCAAACCAGTCAGATAGATGATAGATAGATAGATGCCAGATAAGTAAACTACCTTAGATGATAGTGACTGAAGTGAATTAACCAGTTGATAAACTTCAGGAATATCACGCAATAGATGGGAGAACAGGATAGATACAAAGAAAGGATATGATAGATGATAAAAGATGTCAGGAAGACGGGAGTTGATAAACATTTGAGAACTGATGGATAGATATATGTAGAGGAATGTTGCACATAGTGAGAGGGTAAGAATGCGTGAAGGAATGATAAGAGATAGCATGAAAATGATTAAAGCCCTGTGAAAATATAAAGTATGAGATAGATTTTTTATCTTAAACACCATTGCATTAAAATAAAATCATTGACAAGATATAGATAAATACATAGATAGAAAGAAAGAAAGAAACATGCTATTGATCTACACTAAGACACACAGATATATATATCTATAGACAGAGAGAAAGAGATAGATAGATAGAT